TGAGACCAGCCTGGCCAACATGGTGAAACCCCGTGTCTACTAAAAATACAAAAATTAGCTGGGTGTGGTGGTGTGTGTCTGTAGTTCCAGCTACCTCCTGAGAGGCTGAGGCAGGAGTATAGCTGGAACCTGGGAGGTGGAGGTTGCCGTGAGCTGAGATCTCGTTAGTGTGCTTCAGTTTGGGTGAAAGAGTGAGAATTTGTCTTAAAAAAAAAAAAAAAAAAAACTCCAGAGAGACATCAAACAAACATCAATTTAAAGTCGTGAGACAAGTAAAATTTTAATTCCAGTGAGCAGGTTCTGATGAGTGATTATAGGTGTTTTACCTGATGGGTGTCAGGAGGGAAGGAATGAGTGCAAAGTAAAAGATTATTGATCCTGGAGAAAGGAAAACTCAAAGCTGGATAGATAACAGATGATGAGGTTGCCTTTTGCCTTGAAGCCATTTGGGTTTTTCTGAGTCATTTAGTGAAGACAGTCTCACCTAACACCTTCCAGTTGGGGGTCAATCAAATGGGAAGGATCTGATTAGAAAAGGAAAGAACACATACATACATCTGAAACTCATTTTCTCCAATTTGTCATGTCATGTAATAAAACCTGGAAACTACTTTTTCAAAGATATGTTGTAATTCTATGAAAAGGCAAGAAACAACTGCACTTTGAAAATACAACGTAATTACTCTAGAGAGGCATTCCTTCACATCACTATAGGGTAACTATAATCCCTAGTTGATTTACTGCAGTCCTGATTCTAGCTTAATTCCTAGGAGATACAAAATTCTCAGAATGTCAGGTGTCTGCCCTGCTGCTGGGACCACTCTCCCACTGCATCCGGGAGCCTGCCTGTGGCTTTCCCCATCAAACGGCTTTTCCCTGCCTTTATCCCACAGCTGCCACTGGAGCGAGCACAAGTCATGTCCAGGATCTGCTACCTGGAACCACAGTTCTATCTTTGGCCTGTAAGCTTTCAGGTGGGGCAGGAAGAGTAAAGACGAGCAACTATAGGTGCTTCATCCCACATTTGCTGTGACAAGCAACAAGTGATCATTGAGAGTCTTTCTATGGGAGGGTTTGTCTACAGTTTTCTTCCAAAGCACGTTGCTGAGTTCACTCTTCTAGACTTGTGTGCCAAATTTGGTGCCTTAAGAAACTGGCTGGCCGGGCACGGTGGCTCACGTCTGTAACCCCAGCACTTTGGGAGGCCGAGGCAGGCGGATCACCTGAGGTCGGAAATTCGAGACCAGCCTGACCAACATGGAGAAACCGCATGTGTACTAAAAATACAAAATTAGCTGGGCGTGGTGGCACATGCCTGTAATCCTAGCTACTCGGGAGGCTGAGGCAGGAGAATTGTTTGAACCCAGGAGGTGGAGACTGCAGTGAAATGGGTCAACAAGAGTGAAAAAGAAAGAAATGAAGAAACGTAAGAAAGGGAGGGAGGAAGGAGAAAATGGTCTGGGTTAGTGTGCACCTTTTATTTTATTTTATTTGTTTTAAGGGAGAGGGTCCTGCTTGCTCTTGCCCAGGCTGGAGCTATCATAGCTCACTGCAGCCTTAAACTCCTGAGCTCAAGCAAGCCTCTTGCCTTGGCTCCCCAAAGCACTGGGATTACAGGCACGAGCCACTGAACTCGGCTAGATGCACCCTTTTAAGTCTACCATGTAAATAAAAGATCTCTTACATGACTTTACCTTTATGGTCTGGGAGGAGTTCCTAGCTTCAGAGGAATTAAATAAGGCGAGGCCATGGCTAGGCCAGAACTTTTCCTCCACTTCTGATTACCTGTGAGATCCTGATTATCTCTGCCTGCGATCTGTTTCCTGTTCTGTCTGTTCTGCCATGCTTCTTACCTGTTCTCCTTGCCTGCTCTCCACCTGTCCTGTGGTCTGTGTCTCCTCCATGTCCTTCCATCCCTTGTCCCTTCTCTGTTAGTTTCACTCCTCACCCCGAACCCCAACCCGGCACCTGGGGTCCGCCATCGCCTCTCCTACTCTCTTCCTTTTCTGAAATGTTGGGCTTCTTTGCTTTCTGTGATGCTTTCATGCGTCATGTCGGCTTCTGTTGCTGTACCCAGACTTAGTCTGTAACTGTGTATTTCAAATGCCCTTTGAAGGAACGCAAACAAATAAATCGGCTCAACAGTGCAAAGGCAGTGGCAAGGGTGACATGCCAGAAAGACTGAATACAGTAATCAAGCATTGCAACTAGGGCCTTGAAATTTGAAAACAGGCCACTTAATATTTGTAGCAGAAGGGCTTGCACTGCATTGCACTCCATCCTGGGCAAGAGCAAGCAGGACCCGCCCCCTTAAAAAAATAAAATAAAACCAATATATACACTAAGCATTGGTCTAGGCACCGGGGAAAGTGCGAGGAGCAAAGCAGACAGCAATCCCCTGTATAAAGATTGCTGGTGCTCCAATTTAATGCATTTGAGTAGAAAGGAGCCAGCTGTTCTTTAACTTCTGGAAGTATAGAAGGGACGTGAAAAGGGCAATAGTTGTATATATGAATATGACAAGGTTATCTTATAGGTTATTGACACAGAAGGAAGAATTTCTCTTTTCTTTAAATTTTTTTTTTTTTGATAAGGAGTCTCACTCTGTTGCCTAGGCTGGAGAGCAACGGTGTGATCTTGGCTCACTGCAACCTCTGCCTCCCGGGTTGAAGCAGTTCTCTGCCTTAGCCTCCTGAGTAGCTGGGATTGCAGGTGGCTACAAAATTAGCCACCAGGCCCAGCTAATTTTTTGTATTTTAGTAGAGATGAGGTCTTACTATGTTGCTCAGGCTGGTCTTAAACTCCTGGGCTCAAGCTCTCTTCCCAACTCTGCCTCCAGAAGTGCTGGGATTATAGGTATAAGCCCCATACCTGGCCTATCCTTTAAAAAAAATTTGAATATTGCTTTCAACTTCCTAAAAACCGAACCATACTACTTGGAATGTTTCTGAATATTGCCTATGTTAAAGTGTTAACTTTTCCATTTAAGAAACAATTCATGTTTTAATTATGTCTTTAATTTTTTAACTTATATTTTCCTTGATCCGGTATTGATTCATTGCAGTGAGAAAAAATAACAAGAAAGACTACAAAATCCATAAGAACCTGTAGGAAAAATACTCATCTAATTTTAATGTTTCTTAAGTACAGCTGATAAAATAACAGCTGATCTCTCGCCCTGCCTAGCGTGGTCTGGCAAACAGCAGAAGGGGCCCCCTGCCCTGGGAGCTGGTTGGAAATGAAGCTCCAGCTCTTCCCCAGGGCCACTGCATCAGGGCCTGCATTAGAACACACGAGCTTCCTCCCCGGTGGCATGCTGCAGAGCCTGTGGGTCATAGTCATCATCGCACCTTTTTGTTTTTGGTTTTTTAGCAGCCGTGAAAAAGTACCTGGCGTTGTGCCTGGCCCTTTTTTTTTTTTTTTTTTTTTTTATAACAGGCATGAGCCCATTAATCCCCAGGACAATCCTCTAAAGGAGGTATTATTAGAGGCTCAGAAAAGTTGTCACTGGGCCTGCCAAAGGTGTCACTAAGTGATGCTTTCTGGAGTCTGCTTGTCCTAAGCCTGAGACGGGAAAATTGAGGTGCAGCTCGGGCTTGCATACCCTGTGCTTCCTGGCCAGCTGGGCACCTTGGGAACACTGCATAGGCTACATTAGCCCTGGCAGCTTTGTCCCCAGCCTCTGACCACTCGTGTGCACTTACAGTCTGGTATGAAGGCCCCAGGACAAGGTCAGTTGTGACAAACCCTAAACCACAGGAGGCTGCACATCTCTTCTGTAAGGAGTGCTTCCAGAAGCACTAATGAGAAAAGAAGTTCAGAGGCCTAGACACACACACTTCTCAGGGGTCGCCTACATCCACATAGGCTGTGTGTGTATAACTTTCATTTTTTTGTTTTCATTTCTGAGATAGAGTCTTGCTCTGTTGCCCAGGCTGGAGTGCAGTGGCACAATCTCTGCTCACCAAAACCTCCACCTCCTGGGTTCAAGTGATTCTCCTGCCTCAGCCTCCCTAGCTGGGATTACAGGTATGCGACACCACGCCTGGCTTATTTTTTGTATTTTTAGTTGATACGGGGTTCCACCACGTTGGCCAGGCTGGTCTTGAACTCCTGACCTCGTGATCTGCCTGCCTCGGCCTCCCAAAGTGCTGGGATTACAGGCATGAGCCACCGTGCCCAGTCAACTTCCATGTTTTTGAAGGAAATAATTTGAAAGAATAGATATTTATTAGAAACCAGTTTTGATCTGTTTCTGACACCTTTATGACATACTGTTTTCTTGGATTCTACCTGACAGGGGAAATAAAGTCGATGCTAAGCATCACTCTTCAATCATTAAATAATATTTCTGTCTTCTTGCATAATTTCCTCTTGTGTTCTTAGATAAGAATAAGCCTGTTTTTGTCACACTTTTTGCACATCTGAAAATGACACCTTGTTTGCCAGTAGTAAACTCACAGCTTGAAAAATGATAGGATCCCAAGTTTCCCCAGAAATGTGAGGTGCAATCAACCAGGCTGAGGAAAAAAAAAAAAATGAAGAGGTTACAATTACATTTATATAAAAATACACCACTTAGCAAAAGAAATTCTGATAAATAAAGCAGAGTTAGTGAAATGAGTAGGATCAATTTATGTACATTCGTCTACCTACTTTGCATTTGGATTAAAGTCCTCGATTGGGTCTTAAAATGAGGGAACATTCTAGAACCCACCAACCCTTTCTGATACAGTCACAAGATTTTTTTCCCCTTGATTCTTTAAAATCAGGGTCACGTTTCAACTCCCTGCCCACTGCCATTTGATGATATTTTTGTTTCTCTTTAGGTATCATCCTCTTTTCTTTTCCTTAACTGCTGACATTGGCTTATTTCATATGAATGCGAAATATATTGAATACATATGCATTTAAAATATTGTTTTGATTTGTTTGCGAATTGTTTCTCTTAAAGGGTCTATCAGGGGAAATGAGTAATTTTTCATATCCTGTTCTTGCAGGAAGAATTTTAAATCGTTTCTCCAAAGACATTGGACACTTGGATGATTTGCTGCCGCTGACATTTTTAGATTTTATCCAGGTAACGTTGAGAGTAATGTCAGGTTCTCAAATGGAAACCTGAAGTTCCTATTTTTTCAAGCCCCTTTCATGGGGGGTGGGGGTGGGGCGCTCAGCCTGGCTATGTGTAATGTTAACTTAATAAAAGGCCATGTTTGTAAAAGAAAGGCGCGGTTATAATTCAGAGGCTAAGCTGGCTTGAGTAATACCTCGTGTGTGGGAGTGGCTATACAGTCGTGTCAGGGTTAGTTTGAAGTAGCTTCATGCTTGGTAAGTGGCTCTCTATCTGCCTCTAGGTATCTGGCGTGGATTTCGCTTTACTGTGAACACATTTCATAATATAGAAACAATCACCTCTCACGGAAAGATAGCCTAGATTAACTAAATTATGCATTGTATTACCACAAAGGGCAAATACTTAGAGCACTTTTTTTTTTTTTTTGGATAAAACCAGGTGTGGTTACTTACAAAGAAAAGATTAGTAATAATGTGAAAATAATACTTTATTAACAAGGACAATAGAGAGCAGTTATTGCAGATAGAAAGCCTTTAAAGGCAAGGATATCTAAGCCAATTTGAGTACAGGATCAAAGTCAACTCAGAAAATGTCTTTTTTGTTTTCACGCGTTGATAGCTCTAAGTCTAAAGCTGTTTTTGAAAAAAAAAACAACAATCCCACAGAAATACCTTCTGTAAAGCATTTCTTTTGTTTGTGAACCTGAGGCTCTAAAGAATAATGTTGGGTCATCTCATCTCTCATCTCCTTATTCAGTACTGTTGCTCATGTGGTTTGGTTTTATTTTGTTTTTTCCTGTTGTTTAATTCTGTCTACTTGTCGGTGGCTCAAGCTGGGGTATCTTTTTTTCCCAAGTATTTATTTTGGAAATGCATCTATTAAAAACTATACATATTCCAAAATCTCAGCTGCTGTTGCTAACACTTTAGGAAACTTGAACCTCTTTGACTTTTTATAAGTGCCAACTTAACAGTAGTTCTAGTCATTCGCTGAATTTAAAGCCAGTAAGTAGAAATACTACAGTTGGGGTCTGCAATTTTGGCTTGATCTTGTGGTCCCTCTAACCACCCTTTTTTTCTCAGTGCTCAGATGCTTCAGATCTCCTCTGGAGCCACTGTTATAAAAAGAACCAAAATTACTTAATTTGGAAAATTAGCTATGTCAGAAAAATCAGTCATAGGCTTGAAATGCTTACAGGAATTTCCTGTTCCTTACACAGCAAGGCAGCAAATGAACAAACAGCATAGCCGATGGGCGAATGCATCCACCGTTTACTGAGGTGAAGTAAGTTGAGACTCACCGGTGGAGTATCAAACAAGGACCTCTGATTTTGTTTCTTTTGCAAACTTGTTTTTAACACGTGCCCTGCTGGGTTTAGCTATGTTATTTCTCCCCGAGAAGCAGTCACTAAAACAGTTGCACGGTTTTCATAGAATGCAGATGACTGTCTGTACACGTTTTGACAGTGATTGTTAATTACTTCGAGAATATTTTGTGAAAGTTTCTATTTCTTTGCAACTGCAAGCTAGGCAAAGATCGAATTTCCAAAGCTGGCTGGCCCACTATGTGCTTAGCAGAGTGAGCCATCATAATTAGAATCCGTCATGTGTTTTGCCTCACATATGGAGGGAGAGGGATGGATGCTACTTGATGTCAATATAAAACATTTCTTAGCAATGTGAGGAGGGAAAATTCTAGTCTCGTTATACTTCTGTTTAACCAGAGAGACAAGGGCATCTTTTATTATCCACTCACGTCATCTTGGTAAACTTAACATTGTGGAATACTACTGGCCCCAATTAGCTGATTTTCTTGAATCTACAGCAAAGGTTAAATCCTAATGTTATTGTCTCCAAGAAAGGAGTATTATCTAAAGGATAACTCAGTTATCATTTATGATAAAGATCTGTTGTCACTTGTTTTGTTTGCAGGTGTCTTTAATAAGGCTTCCCATAATCCCTTCAGGAAGAAATATTTTCTCCTTTTAAAAATAGTATTAGCTAAATATAAAAGCTCTGATCCCTGCCATTGTTGTTGATTCTTTGAGGGACATTTCCCAACATTCATTGTTTAAATGGTTGTCAGGAGGAATCAAGTGAAACGTGGTAAACAATGCAGTAACTGGTTCATCTTACTTTGTGTGCGGAGCCTTTCTCTCGGGGATTTGCATTCGATGAGTGGGCTTTTGACTGAGGTATCGCCAGGATCATTTTGAAGTATTTGGGCCTGTTGCTATATTAGGAAGTGAAAATTTTTATTAAAGCCACACACCAAAAAAAAAAAAAAAAGCATTTGACCTGCCCTCAAATAAAGACCAACAAAAATCTAAATGTAAATTGATTTTTTTTTTTTAAGTTGCCTAGGCCTCTGTAAGGATGAAAACAAGCCAGTGGTGTTCTGGGACTCTTAATGGAATCATGTAAACTTAAAATAAACACTATTATGGTAAGCACATAGAATGAAAACTAATTTTCCAAATCAAATACATTATATTCAATTCATTTTCCCCAATCAACCAAATGTTTAAAACCTGTTAGTTATAACAGCAATCTTCTGGAAATTAATTAGAAGCCTATTAGCTCTGCTAGCTGAGCCGAATGAAGGGGGTTGCTTGGTACATTCCTAAGTAGTCTCCTGAATTAAAGCAAAGCAAGGTCAAAATGACAGTTAGCTTTGTTCACCTCAAGGCTTTGCTTACAGTCGTTGATCTTTTCCGGGGGGAAGGAGGGCGGTGTTTTGTTTTTCAAAGGAAATTTTGTCTACTTTGATTCAGTTCTATGATACATTTTTAAAATTTATTTCTAGTACCAGTCGGGTGCACTATACAGGAAGCATGTTGTTATCTATGCTAATAGTAGCTCTCTCCATGGCACGGGCATCTGAAATGGAATTGACTTTCAGGCGTCTTGTTTAGTGCATCACTTCTTCTACAGGGTTTATTTAGCCCCTTTCAAAATTCAGATTGTAGGAAATTTCCTGGATTACTTTGTGTTTAACATTATTAGCAAAACATGCTGCTGACATCGGGCCCCTGGGTTTTTGTGGTTCTTACCAGATTCTATGGGTAATAATCATAGTGACTAGCAGGTCCTCCTAAGCCCAGAGAAACTCACAGAAAGTGGAGCCTTCTCAACCCAGCAGCTGAGATTGACTGAAACAATTGAGTTTAAGAAGACTGGGAATTTCTTTGTTAAGATGTTACTCTTGGTGTTATCTAGCTGACTGATTTACAAGGCAACTAAGTATCATCATACCAACTACAGTTGGTATTCTTGAGCCAGAAAGAGCTTTGGCAGGATGTATAGTAACACATAGAATGAAGATCAAAATCCACAGAAAAGTTAGGTAACTTCATGCAGAGGGAGTTGAAACTTAGCACTTACCACAAGGTTCAGACTAACACTGCTGAGTTGGTACTCTTACTAAAGCTGAGATTTAAAATCAAATAGCTATAGAAATAAATAATGTAGTTGCATTTATCCATGTGACTTTTTTTTTTTTTTTTTTTTTGATACGGTCTGGCTCTGTTACCCAGGCTGGAGAGCAATGGTGCCATCTCAGCTCACTGCAACCTTCACCTCCCAAGTTCAAACGATTCTCATGCCTCAGCCTCCAAAGTAACTGGGATTACAGATGACCATCACCACTCCTGGCTAATTTTTGTATTTTTAGTAGAGACAGTGTTTTGCTATGTTGCTGAGGCTGGTCTTGAACTCCAAACCTCAGGTGATCCACCCACCTCAGCCTCCCAAAGTGGTGGGATTACAGTCATAAGCCACCACGCCCAGCCTTATGTGACCTTTTTAATCCAGGGCATTCATATTTGATTATGTTTTCTGTATAATGGTGATCGTTTTATTGGTTTTGTAAGTAGGAGGCTGGAACTGTGGACCATTGGGTCAGAACTGAACTGTTTCCAATTGAGTTTGCCGAAGACCGGGGGCGTAAATCTGAGAGTAGAGCCTTCTGCTTGTGGCTTGATGTCTAGAATGCAGGCTCTGTAGAAGCAAGTTTGAAACCATGCACAGATTTTATTACTCCCCTGACGAAATTGCTTTGATAAGGAAATTCTGGTTTGTAGGTGACCAGATTTGCCGGCTAGCTAGAGGCAATTAACCTAACTTTGATTTTGAGACTTCAACAAAAGATTTGTATTTGAGTTTTCATTTGTTTGTTTTTTATATAGTTAGCTATTGGCATTCATTGCAAATGGGGAACAGTGACACCAATCATTTAAAAGCGGGTTTCATTTGCTGTCCTTTATTAAGGGAAGAAACCCAGAAGGACAGCAAGGGTAATGTGTCTCTGGGACTTTGGAACCCAAAGTGGCTCAGGTGCGCAACAGTAGTGAATAAAGCAAGATAAGGTTTTTGATTAGGCCTTTTGGAAGGAAACTCAGAATTAAGGGAAGCTTTTGAATATATCGTAAGATATAAATATATCATTAGAAATAAACAGCTTAAAGAATAGAAATGAACAGTCTGCAAGTTACCTCAGGGTTGCCATGGGCTAATCAGATAATTTAGCCAAGGCTGGCAGTGCACATCTGGCTTATAAAGGGTTGTTCAAACATGTTTTTCTTGTTTGCTTTTTCAAAAATGGTAACAGCTTTGAACATCTACAGTATTTCTAAAGCCAAGTCATTTATGAACATAGAATGGCTCTTCACAGGTTAATGCTGAATATCTTGTTTTCGTGAAGAATTGAAATACAACTAGCATAAAGATCTTCATCTAGAACTCATGTTCTTCGAATAGGAGTTTGGCATTTAAAACATAGTGTATTTGCGTAAACCGACAAACAAAAACATAGAGGTGATAGTTAACATTCACATTTTAAAGTGCTTGATTACTTTCTTTTTTTTTTTTTTTTTTTTTTTCTATTTTTTCTTTTGAGACAGGGTCTCACTCTGTCACCCAGGCTGGAGTGCAGTGATGCAATCTCAGCTCACTGCAGCCTCCACCTCCCGGGTTGAAGCAATTCTCACGCCTCAGCCTCTCATGTAG